CTTCAGAATCTCCCTGTATAGTGAGCTTCTTACACTGTATCTCTGTTGTGGCATTTGCATCTCAAAATCAACACGTCCCAAAACCGAAGTCCCCCCTCGCATTCCTGCCCCAATCTTCTTCCTGTATTCTACCCTCACTGATAGCACCAGCACCCGCAGTTACCCAAGTCAGAAACCGGAGCGATGGCCTGCAGTCCGGCTCTTCCGCTAATACTCCCAGGCAAGCAGCTGTCGGGACGCAGGACTGCCTCAGGTACTGGGGTCTCAATTTCACCCCCCCTTTCTGTCACTCCTGTCTTTGGGTCAGTGCACACCCTTAGCTAATTGATGTAATAAAACAAGAAGGGACATGTCCCGAGGGCAGGGACCAGCACTCAGAAGAGTGGATGAGTCTCAACATAAGGCCAGATTGGTGGATTTGAATCCCGGTCAATACGCATCAGCTCTGGGAGAAGTCTCTGAGCTGTTTCCTTATCTGTGAAATGAGAATAAGGATACCTCCCTCCCTGGCTTGTTTTGAGAATTAAAGCTAATGTGTTAACAACATTTACAACAGTGCTTGGCACACAGTGTAAGTGTTTGCAATGTATATAATACATGTAATGGTAGATGAGGGGACCGAGGCTCAGAGCAGTTAAATGCATCCTCTAGGATCATACAGCTATTAAATCATACAGTTGGCATATAAATCCATGTCTATCCTTCATCAAAAGCCACACTCTTTCTAGGACCTACATTGTTTTTTTTTAAGATTTTATTCATTTATTTGAACTAGAGAGAGGGTGAGAGAGGGCGCATGAGTTGGGGGACAGAGGGAGATGGAGAAGCAGGCTCTCTGCCGAGCAAGGAACCCAGCGAAGGGCTCGATCCCAGGACCCTGGGACCAGGACCCAAGCAGAAGGCAGACGCTTAACCGACTGAGCTATCCAGGCGACCCCCCCGCCCCGACAACCCCCACGGGTGTTCATAAGAAAGTAGAATCTCTAAAGTATCAACACAAAAATCATATATAGAACAGTATGGATAATACGATCTCACTTAAAAAATGTTTAGAGATAATTTAAAAACTTCCTGTTACTGCCTCTGAACCTTGTCTATTCCTTTGTCATCTCATTTTATCCATCTCTCCTACCAAATGACCTGAGGGCAGAGACTCCCCATTGCATAGCACAGGCCAGATACCCAACATTCAGTATTTGTTAAATTGCTGAATAGCACTGAATCTTTAAACAAAACCACACATTTATTTAGCAAACAATAGATAATAGTGGATAATATATGAATGTGCATTCAAACCATACAAAAACTTATTTAAAGAAAAGTAATATTCCTTCTGTTCTATTATCAGACACCCAGCTCCCATCCCAGAGGCAGCCACAATGACCAGTTTCTTGTATATCCTTCAGAAATACTGCTGAATTGCATTGAATTATAGTGCAGTTTACATTCATTGCTGAAGAGTATTAGGGAATGATGGGAAATGCTTTATACACATTTAGTCAGTACGTTTTCTTTTCTGAAAAGTCACCAATTTTTCTCAAACCCATATAAAGGACAGCCCAAACATAAAAAGTGTGTGTGTGTGTGTGTGTGTGTGTGTGTGTGTGTGTGTAGACAAACAGCAGAGAAAGGTGCTGGTTGCTGTGTTCAGGAATTCCCTCAAATAAAATCACCCTCCAAGACTACGCAATGCTACTTAGTTTGCTTCCCCTTGCGGCTGATCTTATGACCCATTTCTTCAAAAATTTTTAGCCTGAGATTTCATTTTTATTGTGCTATTCGTTTCCTGGACATGGAAAGATGGGCATTCTGTGACTTGAACGCAACAAAGGACTTTCCCTTTCTTTCAGCGAGGTGTCTGAGGTCACTCTCATCCCACTTACCACAGTCTGAAACAACAAAGTGCCTCCTGGAGGGAGAAAGATAGTAACCACTCTCCTCAATGTGGTTTTTGTCAGACAGAGGTCTGCAACAGCCCTGGGAGACACTTTATCTCATGCTTTAATAATGAACCCTCTTAAAGGGACTTAACACTTGGCAATGCATTCTCTTAGGTTGCTAATTTGCACCCATTACGTCGCTTTGTCAGAGCATGGCACATTCAGACCTTGACATGGCTTAGAAAGGACATTAGACATTAGGTTTTTATTAAAAGTGATTAAAACCTAAGAATTTGGTTCTTCTCACCTCCTCTTTGGAGAAAATAACTTCTCTTCTTCCTTACTAGCATCTTCCCAGTTTTTTTCCTATGCCGCAGGAAATGGATTAGAGAGCTGAAGTCCAGACATGTTCTTATTATTCTTTCAGGGCTGATGTAGACATGGTACCCAGTGACAAGCTCAATGGCGCCTTTGTTTCCACTGGGCCCTCAATGGAAGACACACCAAGAGATAACTGAAGGATTCTTCCTTCTTTCCTTAGTCTGTTTGCTACTAAGTTGTCTATTTGCCTTTCCAAGTCTTTGGTGTAGACTCAGCGGTCTGACTGTCAATGAGCTCTTTTTATGTGTTTCTTTGTTAGGGCCTTCTTCTTGTTACTTCTACCTCTTCAGTTTCCATTAGTAAAGCCAACCATGAGGACACCCTGCCAAGTTATCTACCCCAGCTCAGCCAACTCATTGCAGTTCTCACAAATGTTAGGAAAGTCCTCACTGGTCTAGGAAATGATCCCAGAACTCATAGAGAAAATGGACTATTAAATCCTGGCATTATCTTCCTTCTATTGGAGATTTGTCTTTGTAATCACTTAGGAACTTGCTTCTCCATCAGTCTGCCTCCCATGTGCAGCTTTTATTACTTTCCATTCCTCTCTTCTTTAACTGAAACATTTCTGTTCTAGAAATCGAACTCTTCTTGTGTTTAGAACACCGTTTTGATTGTTTCTGCATCTTTTCCAAACATACTCCAGTATCACTGAGCTCTATTATTAAGGGTGTAAGGCTGCTGAATAAATGAGTATTTGTTAAATGAATGAGAGGGATGTGGCTTAATCATTTGTAGGAGAATTGTAAGTTTTCTGCTGATTTAACTGGGTAAGTCCTATAGTAAAATGACAATGCGATGTGAATGCATCTAGCATTGTTTGCTACTCGGCCTCTACCAAGTCATAGCGGCATTTCTCTTCCTGGCATTTCTCACAAGACACCAACTAGTTCACAGAGCAGGAAGGCAGGATGGCAAAGTGGTTAAGAGAATGGTCTCTGGCCTGGATAGCCTCAGTCTGACTTTCAGCTCTAGCATTTACTATCTGCATGACTTTGGGCAAGTTGCTTGATCTCTTCATGCTCAATATTTCCATCTATAAAATAAAGCTCATACTAATCATACCTACCCACTCACTCATAGGCTTGTTTGAGGATTAAGTAAGCTAATATAGGCAAAACACCTAGAAAGTAGTTGGAATAGTACTATATAAATGTTCACTATTATTATCTGGCAGCTACTGTTTGGCTTGATGACTATTATTCAGGCATTTTACATCAACTTCCAAGACAATGACACATCACTGAAATACTTCTCCCAGGAATGTATTTAAATCTGGGAATCTGGGGTGCCTGGGTGGCTCAGTCAGTTAAGCATCTGCCTTTGGCTTAGGTCATGATCCCAGGGTCTTGGGATAGGGTCTTGAGTCTGGTCTCCCTGCTCAGTGGGGAGCCTGCTTCTCCCTCTGCTCCTCCCCCTGCTTGTGCTCTCTCTCTCAAATAAGTAAATAAAATCTTTTAAAAGCACAAAACACAAAACCACAACAAACCTGGGAACCTACTAAAGAAAGCCATTGCTTCCCTAAGTCTGTCAGGACCTTTTCTCTTTGAACATCTCTAAAATTAGTTGAACAGTCATTAATCACCAACAATTACTAACAGGAGCAAAAGATGTTGAAATGGAATATATCTAAAGTCTTGTGACAAACTATTCTCCTGCTGTATTCCTATTTGTCTACAATTTAAGACTCCTATTTTTTTAGATTAAGTTCTAATTATATTTCCAAGCTACAAAACTTTCTTGGTTTTTAGTGTCATTATGTAACTCTTTATATTTGACGGAGATCTTGGCAAACTCCAAGGCAGAGATTAAACCTGTACATAAATGCCCCCTCCCCCTGTTGGGCCACATAGTAGAAATTTGAGTTAGACAGTTTTTACAACATGGCCTTGGCTTATATTTTACCAGCCTAAGGATTTCTACACTGGTTCAGTCAAAGATTCCAAGTAAGTAGTTCCTTCAGCTCTATTTTAAAGGAGGATCAATGCCACCCATAAGTAATAAGCGATAATTTCAGATATCAATAAATCAAACAAAAACAATGTTTTATTAGTACAGATTGCTGTTAACAATGCTACATTTGTAAGAGGCTGAAAAGCTTCAGGAAAGGGACAGCTATTTATGGGAAGAAATGAATGAAAAAGATCCGTGTCAACATTTTTCTCAATTTACTCTTTCTAGTCACTGGATGGGGGAGTGCAAACACATAAAAGATTCAGCCTCTCCCTCTAGGCATGATACTCAGCTTCAAGTCAGCACCAGTTAGAAGATAATTACTATTAGGAACCTGTACCTCATTTTGGGTGTACTAATTGTATAAATTAGTTTTAAGTGAAAGTGACATCCTATAATGATTACATTTTGGCCAAATCTAGCAGGCATGCTTGTTTTTATTGTTATTTAACTGCTCAGGCCTAATGATTAAATTATCACTCTTTCATCCTTACACGAGATGGGAAAACATTTGATTTGTTTCTCTTCTCCGCACAATCAATTGATTTGCATAATGCCTAATGATGCTTTTTTCAGATTCCCATGTGTTTACCATATATTGCTCCAAACATGCCAACAGACTGTCATTTAATGGGAGAAAAAAAATCTTCCAGTTCAGACGAAAGCCTGGACGATTATTTTGAATACCTACAATCAGTCCATCTGATAATATGCTCAGGCAGCCAGATGCCCCAGAGAAACAAGATCCTTTTTTTTTTTTTTTTTGGTTGTTATCAAATGACTTACCCACAATGACTGCAGTGACAGTGAGCAGCACAAAAGCATTCCGAAATAGGTAACTTTTAACATCCTCCTTTGTGATGTTCTGCACTTTCCTCTTGGCCAAGAGTGTACGCTTACGAACTCCTCGCTGGAACCTCTCCATCCTGCCCCCCATCCTGGGCTCTTCTTCATTGCTTTTAGTCATATTTTACTTCTCTAGGAGAGGGAGAGTCTCTTCTTTGCACTTCAGTGTCTCGGAATCACCCCCGGCAAGCCAGACCTCTTTGGTGTTAGAGAACACAACTAGAATGAGGAGAGAAGAGACGAGAGTTACAGCCTGCAGGGGTGAGAAATGAGAGCTGCCCCACAGCAGGGCAAGCAGTTGGCACACTGCATAATCTCAGCAGGAATCAAGGGCTAGAGAGCCACGACGCCAGTTTTCAAGACGGGGATGTGCATATTTTACTGAACCACGTGTGAGAGATGTGCCTAAATTCAGACTATATGAGCAATAAATAAATAAAAGAATATACCAGCAGAATTGTGTGTTCTATTTTAAAAAATCTGCCCTTCCCATTCCAAGGAGGCTATAAAAGGGTTCATCAGAGCCCTGAGTGTGACTGAGCAGCCCCCACCCCCACCTCTCTCCCGAACCTAGCCAAGTGCTTTTTGCACAATGTTCACCCTCAATAAATGTCTAATTGAATTGAATGCACAGGAAGCGCTCAATAATTACTTGATGGCTTATGTCATGTACATGATGAAGGCATAACCAGGTCAATAAAATGAATTAAGATATTGATATTTCACCGTCAGAGCTTTCTGTTATATATAATAAAGTAACGATTTTCTTCATTTAGGAAAAAACATGATAATATCAGTTAATAAATATGGTCATGAAAAGAATATATGCACAGGACTTCGGAAATATATTTGACTCTTTTACAGGGTCACTTTTAATTTTTTTCCCCTGAAATAAGCAAAGATCTCCGAGCCCATCTATACATTATCTGAAATCGTACTTCATTTCCATTTTTATTACATTATCTGAAATCGTAATTCATTTCCATTTTTATTACAAGTAGAATGTAGTATCTGTCCTTGTGGCAATCATATCGGAGTCTCCTGAGGAGACCATCAGCGACTTCTGGGTATTTCAAAATTTGGGATTTCTAGAACAGAGGAGATGAATCCAATTTTCATTCCAAACATTACAATGTGTGGTTTCTAGTTTCTTTAAAGTGCTCCTAGGTTATTCAAATATATCTAAGTCAATCTCTCCTGGGTGGAAATCAGTTGTCTTGAAGAAATCAAAGGATTCCTCCTGTTTTATAAGATTTGTGATCCATAATCTTTCCCGTGATCAATCCAAGGCGAAATCAGTGGTGCCTGTGGACGTGTGTATATGGCAGCGCAAGCAGCCAGCGTGGGCGGCTGTGGGGGAGGTCACTGGGAAGCAAAAGACTCCTCCGAGGCTTTTGGCAAATCCAAGCGTGGAAAAAAACACTCGTCTGAACAGTTTTGACTTTTAAATAAAATTGCAGGTTGGGGTCAGTGACAACACGACCCACAACTTGCTTAAGACTTCACAGCAGATTACAAGTTTGGGGAGAGGGGAAGGAGGGGTGACACGAGAGACCAGATTTTCTTTTCTTTTTTTTTTCTTTTCTTTTCACTAATCTCTGGTTCCCTTTCCAGTCACTTTTTAAAACAGACCAGCTCAGCCTTGATTCTTTTCTAGCTCTGGAACCACAATCTACCCCCCCAATCCAGCCCGAATGACTCAAATCCAAATGAAGAGCGGACACGGCATAAATACACCCCACGCGCTGGTTAATGCAATTACTAACGTGGACTCTATCTACCAAAATGGCTAGCTTTTTACCCTCGCTGCTCCTCCGCTGGGCGAAACAAAATACACTGGTGGAGAAGGGCAAGGAGGAGTGAAGCCCAGCAGGAATCCAGGACGTCAGACTTACCTTTTCTGCTTTCGTAACGGGTGGCCGGGGCCGCAGGCAACGACAAGGTGAATTCCGCCGCAGGTACCGCCGAGGAACAAACGCCCGCGAGCGAGGCACACACGCGCTCTCTGAAACTGCAAGTTACTCTCGGGGCAACTTAAGAAAAGGGGAGGAGTCTGCGCCCGGGAAACGGGGAGTGGGGAAAAATGAAAACACCGCAGGCAAAGAGGGGGCAAACCCGAGGTTTCTGGAATATTGATTAATCTTGGCTCGCCAGAAGCATGCCTGCTGGCTTTGTTTTGCTCCTTAGACCACTTTCACGCTTTGTCAGTTCACTTTCATTAGGAATGCAAAACCGGGACCAGGAAGAATTGCAAAATAAAGCTCACACACACTCTCAGAAAGCTGGAAGTCTTGATTAGAACGTTTCAGAGAAGACTTTGCTAAGACTAAATTTAATTATCTCACACTCTTGCAGGTTTCCTCCCCTGAAGGAAACTCCAGAGTGTGCTCTTTTGCCTGGTTGTACAACTGTTATAAAGAGTCCCTCTTTTTAGAATTGGGGGAAATAACTGACATTTCTTGGGAAGACCCAGAATGCAGCAAGTATGGAGAAAAAGAAATGCCCACTACAATTCTGCAACCTTGCCTAAAGTTACTCAAAACACAAGATGAGGCATGCCTCTGTGTTAGCAGTTTAAACTCTTCTTATAACAAATCTAATTTAGCTCAAACTGCCTGCATTACAAAGACTAAAAAGGTAAGAAACACACAGAGACCAGGATCTTTGCTGAGCTATGAAGTAAAAAGCATTTTAAGACCCACGAGTGTAAATGCACACTTGAAGGTTTGTGATTTCGAAAGATAAGTTGCTGTACAGGTAGATGCTTCAATTTTAAAGGATGCTAAATATCTCCCGCCCCCCACAGCCCTCACGCCATTGTTTTTAGGAATTAGAAAATTCTCATTGCACTTTTAGCCCACTTTTCTTCGAAAGGAAAATAGATAGTGGAAATAGATTTTTAAAAATGAAAAAAAAAATTTTTTTTAAGCCTGACTCAGCTCCGAAACTTAGAACTTGTTTAGCATGAAGAACAAAGTTTGAAACAAAAACCCATACCAAAAATTATAGCCAGAGTTCTGTGTTCCTGTTCATTAAATCTCGTATTCTCCATGCAAAATCTGCTTAGTTCTTGGGTCTGTCATCCGACAGGAAGGTGTTTTTTTCCCTCATTAACAAACCGAGGGAAAGTCTAAAGACATGTCTCCCGCCTTCTTCAACCATTTCATTGTGTGCCCTTCCCAACTGGTTGGAAAGCAATGGTGAATCATGTACATGATTTAAAATGACAAACGAGCAGCATTTGTTTAACAAATCATAACAACTTTTAAATTTGGCGTAATTTTAAGAGTTTACTGAAAATATATACTCTTGACAGTCCCAGCCCTCAGGAATCTTTTCTCTTCCTGTGATCTCCTAGGTCACTTAGCATCTGGGCCACATTGGTTAACACTTAATTACACGCTGTCTTCCGCTAATCCTGTCTTTTTAAAATCATGTTAAGCTTTGGCTTCTCAAGTGAATTACAAGTTCTTTGAGGGCAAGAACCAGTCCTATGCTTGATACGTAGTAAACATTAAATAGCCCTTATTAATGGATGGCGTAATGTAAAAGTATGAAACAAAATGCTTTTCAACCTTCTGTGTTAAAAGAAAATTCTTTCTTTTTATGTTGGTGTTTCTGGCCTAGGTGCGTGGAGCAGATACCATTTCTTAACGCCGTGAGTACATTTGAAAGCATTTATTTACTGCCCGAAGTACTATCTGAGCCATGTGTTTAAGACTAATTTGTCCATATTTCTTGTGGAAGTGACTTGTATTTTAAGAGAGCTTAAGAAAGAAATCTTTAAGTGATTTTAAATGGAGTTTCAAGCCAAGTGGCGTTTCTGTTTTTAAATTCTGTTTTTTCATAGGCAAGAAAAAGGACTAGAAAAACCACACTTTGGTTAGCATAGAGATGAGAAGGCCCTATTGCCCGTTCTTTTTGCCTTTTTTCTAATCCCTAAGGCTTGGTTTAAAACCATTTCATTATTTTAGTTTGCGCAGACATTCTGGGAGTCTGGTGTACCCTTGAGAAGGGAAGTAATTCACCGCTGAAAGTTTTGTTGGCTGTAATAAAACCTAATGAGAAAATGAGAGGCCAAGAGTCTCAGTTCAGAGTTCATCTGAATTACAAGGTTTTAGTCTGGGGGGAAAGATTGGGAATTACTTCTTTTAAGCACCACTTTCTCTTTGGGAAAGCTATAACAATAATGCCCTTGGGGCAACCTAGGTTTACTCAGCACACATCTCTACCTTTTCCCTTACTTCATAAGTAAGACCCTTAAGCGTTAACACATTTTTTCCTTCATAGAAATACGAAATAAGTGAAAGATCAAGAAATTATGAACAAGCCTCTATAGGCCGATTTCATTTGAAGCTACTCTAGGTAGGAGACACAGAGCCAGGGAATCATATTAATTTTGGTATTCGAGAGTGGGAAAAAAAAAAAAAATCACATGGGGCAAACACTGCTACTTTTGAAAAATCTTCCAAGAATCCTCTGTGAACATACTATTATAAAGTATGCCGTACGTACATTCTTGTTTATTTTTGGAGAAAAAAAGTCACTGTAACAACCACCAAATCTAATGTATTCTTAAAGGGACTGTTTCCATTCATTAGTCTGAAGTATGAAGGATCATGATTAACGAGTAAGTGCTGTTAACAGAGTACAGAACAATTAAATTTCAGCATTCATGATAAGGGCATTCTGGAATTAGAAGAAGAAAATGGATTAGAAAATATTTTAACCTTTACCAAATGTTTTCTACTTTTATTTTTAATTTCATGTTTCATGAGAGATTTTGTCATTCTTTATTCAAATAGCTTACATTTTAGGATCATCATACGGAGTGTCAACTCTCCTATAGTTTAGAAATTATACAATGTGAAGACATGAACGGGAACTGATTTAACCTGAATGGAAATGTTAGAGTTGTAGTTACAGTAGAAGTAGAACTTGTGGTAGTTGGTCTTTCATTTTGTCTTGAATTTTTTCTTTCTTAGGCTTGAATGTAAAAAGCAAAACAACAAAAAAATCTGTGGTGAATTCTGGTTAGTTGGATTTTTTAGCTGACTGGGTTTATTTTAAACCCAGATGAAGCCTGAAAAACCCACCTCTAGGGATGGGTTATGATTAACCTTTATCATATTCATTCATTCATTCATTCATTCAACAAACCTTGAGCAAGTATTGTGCTCTAAACACCAGTCCCTTTCCTCAAGGAGCCCACAAACACACATCTGTAATTATTAGGCAGTGGGCAAGGGGAGAACCCCACAGGGAGTTATGGGAACTCTGTGTTGGGGCCTGTTTACCAGGTCTCTCTACGAGGCTGAAAGCTCCCCGAAGGAGAGCTGGTTTCACATTGTATGTACAGAGGATCCAAAACACTAAATTAAAGAACTTGAACTCTACTCCCAGGCAAGACGGAGGCACAGGATTTAAGCACAGGAGTGATTTTAAATTTGGGGGTGTTGCAAATCCTTTAAGTGAAGAAGACTTGAGTTAGGAAGTGGAGGGGAGGAGAAGCATTTACCAGTTGGGAGAGTTCACACCCACATTAAAAGGAATAGTTTCAGTTGAAAAATACAGACAATCTCACAAAATTGAGGCCCTTCCAGGGATAGGTGGTTATTGACTGAGACCTCTTACCTTAGGTGAGGTGTGTACTTCCCACGTCACTGGTCTGCCCACTTTAGTTTTCGTTTCCTTGAACATACTTGAATGTTTGGACCTTTGAAAGTGGTTTGAGCAAGGGCAGAGGCCTAGAGAATCCCAACATAAGGGGGAAGAAGAACAAGAGGAGCCCTCTAAATAGACTCGCTCATGGTGAGAAATTACACCACCCATTTGATCACAAGTTAGCTAAGAACTGGATATAATGGTGGTTTAAAAATTGAACACATTTCTTCATCCTAAAACTAAGATGATCCACTTTTTAGTGAAGATTTCACAATTGCTGTTGCTATTAATTGTGACATATTGTGAAATGACTTTTTTCCTAGTTGCTCCCAGTTGCCAAACCTCTGAAGGACCAGAATCTTGGTTTAGTTGAGAAAAATCATGTAAGTTAATTGGAATTAAAGTCTTTGGCTGAGTGCTAGCAATAATAATAGTGAACATTTATATAATGCTTCATAGTTTTATAAGGACTCTTATGCATGTTATCTAATTTAATCTTTGTGACAATGCTTTAAGATACATCCTATTATTATTAGTCCTGTATATCCAGATGTTGATATGGAGTTTCATAGGGATTAAGCAGTATGCCCAGGATTACAGTCAGCAAGGGACAAGAGTTCACAATTCTGAAAATTTAGTTTCTTGGGGTGCCTAGCTCACTCAGTTGGTAGAGCATGCAACTCTTGATCTTGGAGTTGTGAGTTTGAACCCCATGTTGGGTGTGGAGCCAACTTTAAAAAAATAATAAAATATTTTAAAAAAGAAAAAAGAAAGAACTTTAGTTCCTCATCTTTTTCCAAAAGAAGTTCCTTGTAGGTTTTATTAAAGATAAATAGAAAAGAAAGTAAAGAACATTAAAAGGAAGGCCTACCATCTGTTATTTCTTCCGGAAAGTCAATCCTAAACTTCTCCTCACCCTCCTCCCCACCCTCCTCGTCATCCTCCAATCCTTGAAAAGTTGATTGCCTCCTATGTGTTCCCAGGGCTCCCTAGGCTTAACTCTCTAGAGTGATCACCACTCTGTTCCGCAACTTTCCCTTTCTAGACTGTGGGCTCTTTGAGAGCAGAGCCTGCGTATACAACCACTGCATACTCAGTACAGAAGGTCCTCAGTGAAGAGTTGCTGCATGAATAAATGACAACACGGCCACACATATAAGAGATTACATCGATCCATCTCTAATCCTAAAACTTGGAGAAAGGACATCAATTAACATCAAACTTTAAAAGGTAGGGAAAAAAGCCAATGAATTTCTTTTTCAGTCATTACAATGTAAAATAGATCCAAGTGGGGCAACTCTAATTGAATGAGTGGGAGGTGGGTGTCCTGGTCTATTTCAGTGTCCCCCTTTTCTCTTCCTCAGGTAGGCCCTGAGGCACGTCATCAATCCATGGATTCTATCCATCGTCCTTGAAAACAAGGATG